CATCATTGAGGACTTGGATGGGAGAAAAAAAATGGCGATTTCAGATGATACTGTTGAAGAATGTAAAATTTTGCGGGTACGATCTGTAATTTAGTTTAAATCACTCTGTTTAAAAGCATTTAGTTTTAGGGGGCCAGATGTGAGGAGATTACCAGTGAAGACATAACCTTTTAATCCTGGGTGTTCGCTTCATTAATGGCTCTTACCTTGGTCTATCACTCCCGGAGTCATTAAACCACATTGTGTTTGAAAGGGGATCCTGAGCCCCACAGAGTCAGATTCTGTTACAAATGACATGATACTGACTCATAACAGACTGCCCCACCATGAATTATTCCCTTGACCTGAGACCCGCTCAATCACACCGCACACTTAATTAAGTTAAACCAAGAGCAATAAATAAGACGTACGACGTGTCAGCTCTGATGCTTGTCCTCATCTGTTGACAAAAGCAGCGGGTCTCCAGCCAGGCCCGGGCAATGAATGAGTCCAATCACGGTGACATACAGCTGAGGACAGGCCTCAAAAATTTATAGGAAATGTGAATATCATCAGCAGCCCGACAGGCAGCTCGGAATACAGATTTGCTCTGTATGCTGATGATTTACCGCTGCTTTGTGACAAAGAAGCACCAAACAGCGGCGAGATGAACATCGCCGGTGCTCTCTCGCCAAGGATCACTGCCGAGTCGGCTGCGGCAGAGAAACAGACATCAGAATTCAATCAAGCTGGCCCATCTGTTCACAGATATCAGGAGTGTCATTTGATACAGGCTCGCCATATAGAGAGGAGGCCCGAAGTTCACCTTGGTAAAAGTGATGCCACACAGACAATGTGGCATAAAAATATGATGTATGAATGTTGTGATGCATCATCTCTGCTACCTCAGAGAGCAGAAATAAGAATGTTTCATCATTACCAATGTTTCATTCAGGGTCCAAAAAAAAAAAAAAAAAAAAAAAAAAAAAAAAAAAAAAAAAAAAAAAAAAAAATTAAAAAA